GCTGCAATATAACAAAGAGTGAAAAATTTAAGGGGGTCTGAATACTTTCCGTACCCACTGTATGTCACAATATGGAGAAAAAGATTGTCACTACTTCTGTTTCATTAATAGAAGTGAAACAGCAGGACACAACATTAAAGTTTTTTTTCTTTTCATCAGTAGTTCTGCAATAGTTCAGTTTTACACACATACACACACACATACATGCAAAAAGAAAGAAAGAAAGAAAAAGACTATCACAAGGTACATTCACCAAAACTTATCTATGTCTGCCTGCATGATAATAAGATAAATATCATAATAAACATATTTTAACAAAAATCTAGAATACATCAAAACAAAACATACAGTATATGTTTGTAAGCCATAAAAATAGATTTTTTTTTTTATTTTCAGTTGTGTCAGTTGTTGAAACTGTTTCTGTATTGTTGAGCCCTAAACATTTAGCTATGCTGCAAAAACACCCTCTATTTCCACATGCAAATTAACTATACTTTTGGATCACTATATAGTTGATCACATATTTTTGATGTCTTGTCTCATTTTGCTACTAATTGGAATGAACTAAAACTGTTTTGGGAGTAAATTATTAGATTTACTTCTCTGAAAACCAATTACTTGTATTTGTGGTGTGAATAGGTAGTTCAAATAGGTAGTTTAAAGTGTTACAGTCAGCAGTCAGTACCCATAAATCTCCAATACCCATTGTTTGTCCAGAAAGACAACAAAACATTTCCTGTGAAGCTTATGATCTGACTATCACAGTCAAGCACAGATAGGAAGTGAGGTCTAGGGCACACAAGTGAAAGCACAAAGTATTCATTAAAACATTTCCTGTGAAGCTTATGATCTGACTATCACAGTCAAGCACACATAGGAAGTGAGGTCTAGGGCACACAAGTGAAAGCACAAAGTATTCATTAAATGTGTGTGTGTGTGTGTGTGTGTGTGTGTGTGTGTGTGCTTATGAGACGGCTCCAAAGAGTCGTGTAAGGTAGGTGTTTAGACCTCTTACAGTCGCACAGGGCACTAGGGGGCAGTGCGTCACCCAGAACACTATTTGCTTTGCTGTAGGGATCTCTTTCTGTTGGCCAATGCACATTGCGTCCCTAATCTAGCCCAAATATTTTGTGGTGCAGTGTGTGTTTTTCTGGCACCTCTGGACAACTCTGCTGAACTCAAGGACAGTAGCAAGGTCAGAGATTGACCTCACTCTGTGTACCCACAGCATCCTGTGCCCACATCAGAATTTAACCCTCTACACCCCACATACACCATGTCTCTTTTAAATCAATTGGACTATGATGATTGTGAGGTATGATATTTCAGTAGTGTTGTTACATGGAATGCATGGACACGTAGGTGGCCGAATCAAACACTTTGCATGTCATACTGTGAGAGGTACTCGGTCTGACCATAACAGAATAGTTTCCCCGTCCCACACACACGCTTATATGTACACACACGCCTCTACAAACTCTTTTACATGCTGCCAGCAGGTGTGTTTTGTGGAAAGAGCCTCTGATGGCAACAAAATGGAGGGAGGAGAGAGGGGTTCTACACTTTTTATAATTATTGTGAGGGCTGAAATAAAAAACAGACCCCCCCCATACCCCCACCTCCTCGACAGAGAAATAAAACAAACAGCCTTGGAATGATGAGTCATTACCGTGCTCGCTAGAAATTCCTCAAACATTCTGTTCTTCTTCTTCGCCTTCTTCTTCACCATTGTCTTCTGCCGTCATCTTGTTTATTGTCGTCTTTTGTTGCTTTTTTTTCTTCATCATCATCTTCTTTTTCTTTGTCTACTGTCTTCTTTCTGCTATTTATTCAGCTTTTGTTCAAATTTGTAGATAATTTTAGCATTTAAGGGATAGTTCACTCAAAAATTACAAATTCTGTCATCATTTACTTGCCATCATGTTGTTCCAAACCTGTATGAACATCTTTTTTTCTATTTTGAAGAAAAGTTTTGGTTACCATTTACGTCCATTGTGTGGACGTAAAAACACATTTCTCAAAATATCTTTTATGTTCCACAGAAGAAAGAAAATCATGCATGTTTGGTTAGTAAATGATCACAAAATGGTCACTTTTGGGTGAACTATTCCCTTAAGTGTGTAAAATATATTATATGTTTATTGTCGTCTTTTGTTGCTTTTTTTTCTTCATCATCATCTTCTTTTTCTTTGTCTACTGTCTTCTTTCTGCTATTTATTCAGCTTTTGTTCAAATTTGTAGATAATTTTAGCATTTAAGGGATAGTTCACTCAAAAATTACAAATTCTGTCATCATTTACTTGCCATCATGTTGTTCCAAACCTGTATGAACATCTTTTTTTCTATTTTGAAGAAAAGTTTTGGTTACCATTTACGTCCATTGTGTGGACGTAAAAACACATTTCTCAAAATATCTTTTATGTTCCACAGAAGAAAGAAAATCATACATGTTTGGTTAGTAAATGATCACAAAATGGTCACTTTTGGGTGAACTATTCCCTTAAGTGTATAAAATATATTATATTTTGGGTGTAATCTTTATCATTTCAATTTAAAGTTTTCAATTTGTTTTAAGTCTTCCATTGGCTTAAATTGATAGAATATTTGCCATTTAAAATCGAATTGACTAAAATAACGCCATTGTGCTATTTTAATTGGTCTTTACTCTCTTGCATTTATTTAACCATATAGCCGCTTCACACTAAGATCACAGTGTCACACTGTGTTGATTCTCATACACAGCTGACTAAAAAAACAAGTCGCTTGAAATGTGTTTCAGCTAATATACCCAATTTCAGCTGCCATCTTTGCAGTAAATCTCTTTGAAACGTTGTTCCAACATGTCTTCACCAAAAATAACAGCATCAAATAATCCAGAAGCACCACACCAAAAATAATAGCATCAAAAATCCAAAAGCACCAAACCTCACAATAGGGTGTGTATTTCTATCATGCCATGATTTAGCTAGATGCAAGAATGACATTATTCCTTATTGTGAAAGAAAGAAAGGACATCACAGTGACATCAGTATGTAAACTTACAGGCACACAACGTGTCGCACATTGCAAAATATTTATTAGAATACACATTTTGCTGACTACTCTATGACACAGACTCATTTCTTTCTCACACGAAAGTAATGCTAAATGCCAGGCAGTTTGTCGTGACGATTTATGCCCGCAAGCATCAAGTACGCAAAGTGAAATGGAGAAACGCAGGAAACGTAGGCTTTAGGACCCAGAGTCACAGCTCAACGGAGGCTGGGCAAGGCTGACTCACTAAATATGTCTGAGGAATGAGAGAGAGAGAAAGAAAGATAGATACAGAGAGAGAGAGAGGGAGAGAGAGAGAGAGAGAGCAGGAGAGGTAGAAGTGAAGAGAGGAGGGTAGAGAGAGGAGACCGGAGTAGAGGTGATCTTGCCCCCATTAGTGTCAGGACTACAGGATGATTATGGGTTGAGAAGGGAATGATGGAAGCAAACAAAGTTCTTCATTTTGTGCCATCCGGTAAGATCCACATGGACTCTCACACATACACACACACATCCAGACATACACACATATGCACATGCTCCTGCGCCGTCACGACTAAGCATCCGAGGGTTCCCTGAAATTTGAGACTGTGTGTGCCAAACATGTACAGTGGAGAGGGTGCATGTGTGTTTGTGTGTTGTTGTAAGTTTTCTCTCTGTTGAATCCTGCAGGTCTGTGGATTGTTTTTCTCACACGCTGCTGCTGCTGGTGTTTTTTGGGGTGCGTTATGCTGGAATGCAGACAGGGTTTTTCGGGGCTGGTTTTCTGGAATGCGTTGTAAATGCTTTTACGCTGTTAATCTTAGTCGAGTAAAACAGGAAAAAAGAAAAATGACATCACACAGTTTGAGATACCTGCACACACATTGCAAAAGCATGCACACCCAAATACAAATGAGGGAGAGGGAGACGTGAGAAAAGAGACTGATGCAAAACACAGATCAAAATTAAGTACCTGTAAGGCAGCACTAGGACCAAAACCTATATGCCTGATCAGGCAGTACTCGAGTGTGCGTGCGTGAGAACGAGCGGGTATGTGTAGTTGGTAGTCTTCTGGGAGAGTAGGTCTTATTTGTACGCAATGTTGCTGTTCAATTCGTCTCATCGGTCTAATACCGCATGCAACACACATGCGCTGTCGTACAGCACAAGTGCACCTACATCACTCTCTTTCTGTCCTTTCCCTTCTCTCAAAACCTCAGTGTAAACACAGTAGGTAATAGAAGTGGGAAGACACTAAATCTTGTGCTCGTCTTCCCGCCGATACACACACACACACACACACATTCATAATGAGACTGTGATTTGCATCCTTCACCTGAGGGTTGAACTTCATATCAGTTGATGTCTCAATTTTCTATCCTCACATGATTACGTGTGTGTTTCTCCATGTGTGTGTGACACACAGCATCAAGTGCGCATTTGATCAGGCTGTTGTAATTGACACTTAGTTTGTGCCTGTCTTGGCTTGTGGGTAATCTTTGTGGTACTCTGTCAATACCATAATTTCAACAGAATCTCAATGTCATTGGAGCAGTGCTGCTGTGCTGTGCATTGGAGCGTGCTGTGGCCGCCTGAGAACTTTCTGCAATTCACAATATCACATAGGTGAGCAATCGCTGCAACAGGATTGAAGCTGTTTGAACAGATGAGCGGATGAATGATGGATGAAAGAATAAAATTAATGATGGGACTAATGTAATAAGCAGTGTCCTCTGTCTTTTTACGACTGTCTTTCTCTCTAACGAGTATTGAGATTGCTCACCCGCTTCTCATTACACACACATGAAAGGTGGACATTTTGTCCCTAGATTCCTTTATTTACGATTTCCCATCATGTTTGGATATTGAACGTCCTATTTGCACTGCAGATGGTGGGATATGAATAGATGTAATTTTATGGAGGGCTGATTGACTTTGCGTGGCTGTGCGTCCCTTTATTTATCTGTGTATGTGCGTGTATAGTCATCCGCCGGGTCCCAGAGAGGTTGGTAATGCAGTTAGGCATCTCTGACTTTTCTATTCCCCATTTGTCTTACACCCACTGTACATTACAGTCTGCAAAGGAAATTAGAATCACACATTCCTCTGTTTATCTCCTCTGTTTATGGTACGCTGTAAAATGGCCATATGGGCATCCTCTCTCATACAAAGAGCGGTGTCTGTGGGCGCAAAGGAAACAGCCTTCACAGACGTTCACATGATGGAGAGCTTGGCCCTCTTCTGATTTACAGACACGGCCGTGATGTGGATATTTTTAGAGTCACAAATATGTGTGCGATTTGCCAAGTGCTATGTGTTGTTTGCTTGAGCCTAATTAATTGGGCATCTCTTCCGCTAAAAGTCTGATCCCAGATAGACATGCGTCTGCTTTTCCGTAATAGATTAAATATAGCTCACGGAAAAGTTACAAACGCTCGATCCTCACTTTCTGTTAGAGAATGTCAGGAACCCCCTCTCGCATCCACACGCACACACAAACACCCACGCTCAGGCAAACGGACGCGTCCCCCGCCCACCCCTGGAGTAAACCTTAGATTGCTTCAAGATGTCGGAGGATGCCAATGCTGATGAATTCAGACCTTTGATTGCGATGCTGCCCGTGCGCCAGGGGAGAAACCTCACACAAATGCCACTTTTCTGATACACATACGGTAGACAAACACACAGATGCGCACACCACCATTCTGATGCACACAGTCAGACATTGTGCCAGGCTGTATGACAAACCATCTTTGGCATAAACTAGATACCATCATGGCCTTCAAATGTCAAACAGTCTCTCTGTTTTAGTTCAGAATTCACATTCCTTGTATGATACAGCTGTATCCTTTTTCTGTTCTCTCTCACTTGTGTTTTGTCTCCGGTTTGGTCTTGTCTTGTGGCAGCGGTACTGTAGATTGTAAGAGGGAATGGTGGCCTGGCTTTAATAGAGGAAGAAGGGAATGTGCAAGCAATTAGCAGGAATCCCCCAGCAGAGTGCTCACAAAACCAGAGCAGCCGAGATATGAAGGAAAGGAAAATCTTTATTCCCTTGATGTACAGGACAATAGTGTCCATGCAAACACATTTAAGCTGTGCATTCCCTTGGTGCCGTGTGATTAAAGACGGCTGTCATGTTGAAGCATGTTAGCGCTGCGGTCACTGGATCTTGACGTCCACCTTTCTCTCTCTATCTCCCTCTCCATTTCTCTTTCCAATGCCCAAGAGGATGTTTTACAGGAATAAATGGGCTAACGAGAGTGAGATCTGATGCCATCATCATAATATTACCTAGGTTTTCCTGTTAATGTTTGATGCGGTTTGTTTTTCCACACATGCCGATCTGCGTATTTTCTCCTATGGCTTATAGAGAGTGAGATGAAGAGAGGAAGAGAGGGAGCCGCTGGCTCACGTACGTCTATATAACACCATGTGATGTGTAGAGTATGCATAGATCACTATCAGGGTCACCTGGAGATTGCTCCCATCACACTGAGAGAATGAAGTGAGACGGACGCATCAGCCTAGCCGCATGCAGCAGAAACATCTCTGTCGTATGAAATTCATCTGAAAGCAAATAGCTGCAGCTTCAGGATTTACCTGCAAATTGCCATGAATGGTTATTTCAATCGAACATGTGAAGAACATTATAACTGCGTTACACCTTATTCTGTGTTGGGTTTAATGAAACTATTATCAGAACGGTATCTTCTCTAATACAATCAGTAGATCCTCAGATGGCATGCCAACAGACCGCCCACAGTCTGTTCACTGATGCATATTGCACTCAAAAACCAAGACCCAGCTGAAATCGCCAGTTCTGATCTGATTGGCTGGTGCTATGCAAAGTTGTCTTCTTTGAACGTCTGAATAAAGATATTCAGTCTTTTCACAATGAAATTGATATCAATAAGCAAAACTCTATGTCTGACTTTTTTCTGAATTATGTTTGTGAAATACTCTGCATTTGGATGAAAAGAATAAATTAAAAACTTCTACACACATTTTTGATCATTGCTTCTCACAGATCAACACTGCTGTGCCCTTGTTTGAATTAATTCAGTTTTTTTTCATGCTGTAAAATAAATGTGCTCCTAAAAGTTGTGTAAAAACAAAACATAATTAGTCGATTTCTTGTCACTCAGACCTTTTTCTGTGCAAGTATGCAGTTCCAAACCGGACAAGACTTTATGCCGAGAATCAAACGCATCTTCCAGCAGAGGAAAATTTATGTATGCCGATGTCACACTTGCATGAAGAAACTAATTCAGCTTGACCTTTCTAAAATCTTTTTAAAGTGTGTTTATATGTTGAAGATCCATAACATGCTCATTTGCATGCAGAAACAGTATTTTTTTCTCATTTAATAATTATAGCATTTAGTTTTCTTTCCTCTATTACTCCAACAACAGCATGCATATTAATATGTCTTTAGCGCTGTCCACAGTTTATTTGTGAAGAGAATGCATCGTCAACAGTTTGGCTTTTTCTCTCCAGCAATATTCTGTCAAGCAGACTCATACACGCACAGACACAACTCCGTGTCTCTCTCCTTCTCCTTGCCTCATCACGCTCTTCCCTTATTCCCAAAAGAAGCAGCATGTGTGTATGTATGTGTCATTATTGGTCTTCAGAAGGAATTCCCTCTCTAAGCAGTTGGAGACTCGCGTGCCAAAAAGCCAGCAGGCATATTAAGTCTCTCTATTTCCTGCTTGCTCTCTCGTAGATCAGGGCTGTTAGTGACATTAAAAAGTGGCAGAGAGCACATTTAATCTGTCTTTCTTTCTTTCTGTCTGTCTGTTTAGTAGAGGTGTATCTACGCTAAAGGACCATCACTACACACTGCTAGACAACCAAAATACAATCACAACCTGCAAGAGATGGCTTTCTTTCTCTCATACCTTATCTCTCACATTGCCAAAGTCATATCTATGTCAAAGCATGGCCCTACTCGTACAGGTACAGCTGGATTAAAAGATCTCAAAAACCTAAGGTCTATGAAATAACAGTGACTAAATTCCTAAGCAGCCTTTCTAAACCCAAAGCACATGCTTTCTGCATTTGTACGTTCTCTTATGATATTACAGCTGTAATAGCTTATGTAAAAGATGCATTCACATGTTTGATGTGCTTTTATATTACAGGCCATGTGCACTGTTTCTTACCTCCAATTTTTTAATGCACATTGTCCATTTGTCAGGGCAAGGATTAATGTTTTTGGTCTGCCAGAGCGTGGTGCCATATGGCTGGATGTAACAGCCTCACAAACTCAATTTACTAGATTTATTTATTTTTTTACATTATGCAGACTTGCAGAGATGCACCGTGAGATTTCCGTGACAAATTAATGCCTCTCTTGATGAAAAAGTAAGAGGGATAGTTCTCCCCAAAATAATTCTGTAATCATTTATTCACATTCACGTCATTCCAAGCCTCTTGATTTTCTTGCTTCCGTTGAATATGAAAGATGTTTTGAAGAATATCCTTCTCATA